GTGCGGTTGCGGAGGTATGATGGGGCAGGTAGGAGGCCCAGAAGTTTTGTCATGGCTGACCTGATTTCGTCTGTGTGGTGTGGTGATGGGGTGCTGATGCTGATATTGCTGATGCTGATGATGATGCTGATGCTGATGCTGGTGATGGTGATGGTGGTTGTGATGGTGATTAAGATGTGGCGCCCGGGACTGTCCAGGATCGCTCTCGGGATTGCCCGTCACCGCGTCTGGCACCGCGCAGGACCCCGCCCAGGACGACCGGGACGGGCCGGGAGCGCCCGGGACCGCTCGGGACATCCAAGAGCGCGTTCCATTCCGGGGAGGTGCCCGGGGGTTCCGGGGAGGAGTTCCGATGGAGGGTCCTGGGGAGGGTCCCGGGACGGTCTCGAGGAGGGTCCTGGGGAGGGTCCTGGGACGGGTCCCGTCCGATCTGGGGAAGGTCTCGGATACCCTCCCGAACATACTCGGGATGGGGAAATCAATAAGAAAAGGGGTTCCCCAGGGTGGCGGGCGGGACAAGTCAATTAAATGGTCGGTTAAAAACGTTTTTCTTCCCTCCCTCCCCCCTCCTTTCCTTTCCCGGCAGACCCACCCCGGCCACACCCTTTGGGGGGGTCCTTGGGGGCGAGTTGGGGCCTCTTGGGGGCGTCTAGGGGCCTCCTGGGGGCCTCCCGGTCGTCTTGGGCCCTTCTCGGGCCGTCTTGGAGCCCTTTTGGGCGCCTCTTGGGCCCGTCCTGGGTCCCTCTTGCGCCGTCTTGGGGGCCTCCTGGGCCTGCGTAAGCCCTTCTTAGGCCGCCTTGGAGCCTTTTTCAGGGCCCCTTTGGCCGTTGTGGACACTGTGACGGCCCAAGAGGCGAACATGCTAAACATGTAGGTTTCCCTATGAGGGAAATCGATGATTTTGGCCGCTCGGGGCCCTTTTGGGTGACCTCTTGGGGGCCTCTGGGGGCGTCTTGGCGGCCTCTTGGGCTGTCTTGGGTTCATATTCGGCGTCTTGAATGGTTTTTTGGGCGATCCAGAAACGTCTTGGCCCGTCTTGGCGGCTTCTTGGACACGTTTGGGCCCGTTTTGGCCAACCGAACCCCGACCAACCGAACCCAATCTGTGGACCCCCCCCCCTACCCCGGCAGAGCCCCCCCGGCCCCCCCCTCTTTACGAGGGTTTGTGGCCTTGGGGACGCAAGCGCTGTGTAATTTACAAATGAGTATTGGGACACGAATATTACTTAGTTTGCGAGGGTGTAGTGCCTCGGGGGCGCGAATACGGTGTAATTAAATAGGGATTATGGCTTCGGGGACGCGAATCTCATTTGTTTTTACGTTTCCCACGCCCCTCCAGAAATTCAGACAACACGATCTGGGCGTGGTAAAAATGCTGGTGTGGGGCTCCCCCCCTCGCGCGTTCAGCAACAATTTGCAGTAGGAAGCAGAAAGCAGGACTGCAATATTGGAGACTTGAAAGTGGAACCTGTGCAGGGAGCATGAAAGCCTAATCTTCGCAGCCTGATGGCCCCGCAAGGGGGCCGGCGGATCCATCCTATCCGTCTAAGCCCTAATTCCTCCACTGTGCCAGGGGTCTCCGCGCGGCTTGCTTGCGTTTCCAACGGCTGCACGTTGATTGACCGCCGGAACTTTGGCTTAGCGTGTTGCTCTGCCGGTCTCGCCCGCCCTCCTTCGCTGTGCCAGAGTTGCCGATAAAAAAATGCTTCATGGACCGTGTGGCATGCAAACAACCCGCCCCTTAAAAAACCATGTGAATCATCGATGTCCCTTTGGTTTGTGACTGATGTTGGTATCTGCTGCTTTTCGGCCTTCCGATGGCCCAAGGCGGCCCAAGGGGCCCCCGAGATCGCCCGCAGAGAGCCCAGGAGGCCTCCAAGCTGGCCCCATGACGGCCGCAAAGGCCCCCAAGACGGCCCCAAGAGGGCCCCAAGACGGCCCAAGAGTCCTCCACGACGCCCAAGATCGCGTCCAAGACGGCCCCGAAGCGCCCCACGAAGGCCTCACCACGGCTTCCACGGCGTCAGACCGACCAGGCATGCCCACAGACGGCCAAAGATAGGGGACCACATGCGAACCCTACCACTACCCCCCACGATTTCTGAGGGGGAGGGTGGGATTCACTTCGTTCGGGAGCTCCCGAGCCCGATCCTGGCATGTTTCAGCGGCTGCGCATTGACGGTCCGGGTGGTGCCAGCAGAGTTAGATGAAAGTTGTTTTTTTCCCTACCTAGGCTCTGCCTAGAAGGGTTCTTACCGTGTTGGCTTAAAGGGCCGGGCAGTGTTCCACGCCCCGGGCGGTTCCCCCAGGATCCGCCCCGCGGTTCCCCCAGTGACGTTCCCTTAGCTTATCGTTGCTTATTCCCTACCCAGGCTCTGCCTAGAAGGGTTCTTACTGTGTATGCTTAAAGGGACGGGCAGTGTTGCCCGCCCCGGGCGGTTTCCCCAGGATCCGCCCCGCGGTTCCCCCAGTTGCGGCCCCTGGGTTCACCCAGCTTAGCTTAGCTAAGCTTAGCTTATCTCATCTTAGCTTAGCTTAGCTTAGTTTAGCTTTGCCTAGCCTAGCCTAGCCTAGCTTGGCTTAGCTTAGCTGAGCTTACCTTAACTCAGCTTAACACAGCGCAGTATAGCGCAGCGCAGCATTAGCACAGCATAGTCTAGCATAGCATAGCATAGCCAATCATATCATATCATATCATAGCATAGCATAGCTCGGCATATCATAGCATAGCATAGCAGCACAGCACAGCATAGCACATCATAACATAGCATAGCATTGCTTAGCATAGCATTTCGCAGCATAGCATAGCATAGCACATCATACCATATCACACCATTACAACTTAAATCATAACATAACGCACCATAGCATAGCAGCATAGCACATCATAGCCTAGCCTAACCCAGCATAGCATTCGGCAGCATAACATAGCATCGCATAGCATACCATAGCATAACATAGCGTAGCATAGCACAGCATATCATAGCATAACATAGCATAGCGCAGCACAGCATCCACTATTGCTGCTGCTAATGTTGCTTTCCTAGAGGCTCCAACTCCTAGGTAGGGTCGCACTGGGATACTTAAAGAACTGCTTGATGGACCGTGTGGCATGCAAACAGATCGCCCCAACCAAATCATGTAAATAATTGGTGTCCCTTTGGTTTGTGACTGATGTTGGTATCTGCTGCATTTCGGCCTTGAACACTGGAGCAGAAACAAACAACGACGGCCAACATGGTTCTAAGGGAGTCCAGGATGGCCACAAGATGCCTCCGACACAGATGCATCGAAGACGGCCCAAGATGTCCTCCAGACGGCCTCAGTGGCCCCCAACAGTATCTAATGGCCTTCGGCCCATCCCAGCACTGTGCCTGGGTTGTTGGTCTGGAGCCTATTGGACGTTCGTTGGGATTTCGTTGGAGGCCTCTCGGGGGCCTCTTGGAGGCAGTATGGAGGCCCCTTGGGGGCCGTTTCGGGGCCTCTTGGAACCTCTTTTGGGCTTCTTTGGGGCTTCTTGGGGCCTCTTGGAGGCCTCTTGGGGCCTCATGGTCGCCTCTTGTTGCCTCCAGTAAGCCTCTTGAAGCGAGGGGCTCGGATTTCCTGTTCGTGTTCCCTCTTTTGGTCCCTTTTGGGGCCGTCTTGGGGGCCTTTTGGGCCGTCTTGGCCGTCTTGGGGCGCTCTTAGGCCGTCTTGAGGCCCTCTTGGAGGCCTCTGTGACCATTGAGGGGTGGTCTTGGGGGCTCTTGGGCCGTCTTGGAGCGTCGGAAAGCCGAAAAGGCGAGACCGCCAAAATCTTTCAAAAGCCGAAAGGAAAATCAATGATTTTGGCCTCTTGGGGCCCTCTTGGGAGGCCTCTTCGGGCGTCTTGGCCGTCTTGAGCGTCTTGGGGCAATATTTCGGCGACGCGGTCCCTCTGGGACCGTCTTGGGGGCCTCGTGGGGTAGATTTCGGAATTTGGGGTCCGTGCCCCTTACAGCTCATCAGGACTGTGAAGGAGGGGAAGAGGGGCGACGAGAGGGCCCACGAGACGTCCGAGAGGGCTCCAAAACGCCCCCAAAGCGCTCCAAGATGGCCCAAGACCGCCCAAGAGTGTTCCAAGATGGCCCACCATGGCTTTCAGGACTGGTCGCTCAAGTACCTTGTGGGATAATCACTGCTCGAGTAGTTGTGTGGCTTTGCCGCCCAAGGCAGCAGCATCTTTCACGCATCAATTTCCAGCGGGCTGCAGCCAAATTTAGCAGCTCATGTGCAGCGCTGGCCGCTGCATCCCTGACACGTTTATGTTTTTTGTTTAAAAAAGTGGCCCAACATGGCTACAAGACGGCCCAAGAGGGCCTCAAGACGGCCAAGAGGCCCTCAACAGGAGTCCCACGAGGCCCTCAGGAGGCGAAATATGGTAGTTTTTACAACTGAATGCTGAGCGGAGACGGGGAACCGGACGAAACCTTGTAAAGTACAGTCGTCTGGGAGCAACGCAGAAACCGACCCTTTTCAACTGAAAAGGGTCGGTTTTTCTGCCGGCGAGAACACTACAGACGTCATTGGCTTGCATACGTACTCTTATTTGTGCTCAAAGTTTTGTGGGGGCCCCGGCTCCCATGGAGGCTCTGCTCCTCGAGATTTCCCGGGGCATCTCAACCGCCCTCGCCGTGCGGTCTTCGGCGGTCCCCTGTCCAGACTGCACCTGCAATTGCACGCCTGCGCTTGCCTGCTCAGAGGGCGCGCTCCCGCGGGAGTTCGGGCAGGAGACGGGCTGGGAGTGGCCCGGGCCCTGGGCCTGCTTCTCCTTGATCGGCCTCGGCGCGGTCGCCGGGGCCTCGGCGGTGCTGCTGGCACAGCGCAGGCTGGCGCCTGCCCCCGCAGCGGCGTCGGCACGGGCAGCGGGCCCGGCCGAGCTCGCGGACCCCTCGTCCGCCCGAGCGGACTTGCTGCAGGAGGCGCGCGCGCAGCTGGCGGAGGTTGCAGCACGCCGCGCCGCGGCCCGCCAGGCCTGACGCCATGGCGGCTCCACACCAGGTCATCGCGGCGGGCTTGGCCGAGGGCGACTTCCTGGCTGTCCGATACAGAGTGGGTGGCCGGCGCCTGTGGCACCGCCGCCTGGTAGTGGCGCTCGTGCCCGGCGGGACCACCGTTGCGGGCATCATGACTCCCGAATTCGATGAGTACGACGAGGACGTGGCCGACCAGGCGAATATCGCAGAGTGGACGATGCTCCCGCTTGGCACGATCGGGCCTGCTGCTCCGGCGATGGGTAACGACGACGTCTACGACTTCAGGCACATCCCGTTGCAGGCCGCGGTGGATGCAGCTCGAACCGCAGCATACGCGAGAAGGGGGGCTGTGCCGGTCGGGCCCATCGTGGTCAACCTCGCCGGGCGCGTGGGGGCCGGCGCTCCTGTGGGCGCAGCACCCCCTGCGGCTGGCGGCGCGGCGGCTGCGGCGGCTGGGGGCCCTGGCGGCGGCGGCGGCCTCGCGGGGCTGGTGGCGGCCCTTGGCGGCCCGGCGGGCGGCCCGGCCGTTGCGGCGGCCGCCCCAGCGGCCCTGGTGCCCGTGGCAGCGCCCGCCGCCCCTGCCGCCGGTGCGGGCGCCCCGCCAGCCGGGCCTGGGGCCGCGGCGGCCATCCTTGGCGCGCCCGTCGCGCCCGCCGCCCTGGCAGCGCCCGGCGCGCCCGCGGCCGCGGCTGCAGCTCCCGCGGCGGGCGCCCCGGCGGCCCCGGCTGTGGCTGGACCTGGCGGCGACGCCCGGATCTTCGGCGTGGTGGTCGATGCGCGCGGGGTCCGTCATGTGGACTTCTGCACCGCAGTCACCCGGATGACCGAGCTCCCCTGGCCAGACAGGCCCGTGCGAGGGCCGCGCACTTTGCGGTGGGTGGCAGAGTTCATGGCGCAGCGGAGCGGCACGCCGACGGCGCATCATCAGAGGTGGCTGGCGGAGACGGGCCTTGACCCCGCTGGTCCAGGAGTGGAGATCCACCAGACGGGCTGCGTCGTCCTCGAGACGGCCATTACCTACGACCAGGAACACGCCACGAACCTCGCCCACCTCGAGCTCGTCGCCCGCTCGATCCAGGTGCAGGAAGAGAAGTACCGGTTTCTCGTTGAGCCCGACGATGCCTCGGCTGCTGACAGGTCGGCCATGATGGGGACGTCGCAGCTCGCGGGCTCTGCGTGTGTCTGCCCCGCCCTTCGCGACTATCTCGCATCGGAGTTGCAGAAAGAGATGGCAGTTGCGAAGGAGCGGAGGAAGGCGCGCGAGGAGCGCGCCCTCGCCGGCGGCCAGCCTGGCGGCAAGCGCGGAGGGGGCGGCAGGGGCCGCGGCGGCCGGCGGGGCAGAGGCTCCGGTGCCGCAGGCGGCGATGCCTAGCTTGCCGGAGGGCGGTCGGCTTGGCCCGCCGCCGCCCTCGCTCCTCCAGGCCTCCGCGGGCGCCAACAGCGCTGCCCGCACTTCGGGCGAGGCCGGGCCCCCTTCGCGTGAAGACGGTCGCCGGCGCAACCTCTTCCCGCTGCCGCAGCTCACAGCAGCCGACGCGGCGCCTGGCCTCTCTCGCACCCGGCGGCGCGCTCGGGCGGGCCACGCCCTCGGGCGCGCGCTCGACCGGGCCGGCGCAGCCGTGCATGCGCTGAATTACTTATACGGTGACAAGTCCTCGCCCGAGTCGGCCGTTCCGACAGCTGGGCAGCGCTGCGCCGTCGGTCACATTTGGGACACCATTGCCGCCCTCGGCCCCGAGCCGGACGAGTACCGCGACGACGTGTCCGACCCCAGCGGGGCCCTCCGGGAGCTCCTTGCTGGGTCCGCGCTGTGCCCTGACGGCAGCGGGCCCACCACTCCCTACGTGCCAGACCTCGTCTCTTGGTCCGATGTGTCCCAGCCCCCAGCGCCGCTCCTTGGGCTGCTTGGAGAGCGGGGCGCCGCCGCGCTGCAGGAGTGGAGGCGCCATGTGCTTCGAGATGCGGAGGAGGCGCGTCAGCTTCGGGCTGAGGCTTGTCCGCGCGGGCCCTACGCGGACCCCGCCCTCGTTCAGTCGCCCACAGAGTGTGCCAAGTTCCTGGGCGCGATGGCTGAGCGCCACATGCTCACCTTGTCTCCCGCCCGGGGGCGGCGGGGCAACATGGGAATATTTTTTGTACCTAAAAAGAATGGGAAGTTGAGGGTCATCTTCGACACGCGGGTGGCCAACTGCTCGTTCATCGAAGCCCCGAGGACCCAGCTGCCGTCTGCCTCGGCCTGGGGCCGCCTCGAGGCTGGCGACGTTCGCCTCAGCATCGGCTCCGCCGACCTGGGCGTCGCTTTCTACCGCGTGCAGGTGCCTGCTGGGATGGAGGAGTTCTTCACCTTGCCTCCGATCCCTGCAAAGTATTTGATGCCCTTCGGATGCGTGGAGGCCGGCACGAGGGGTGACGACCTCCTGCTCCCGCAAGTGGTGGTGCTCCCGATGGGCTTCGGCTGGGCCCTGCACCTGCGCCAGACGGTGCTGCAGACATCCCTGTGCCGAGCCGGCTTCTCGCCCGAGAACCTGATCCTTGACGGCCATAGCGGCTGCCAGCTCTCTGACGACCCATCCTCGGTCGTGGGCGCCGGCTACGTGGACAACTACTTCGTCCTTGGCGGCTCCCCAAAGCACGTGAGCGAGCAGCTGCAGTATATCACCGACGACCTCCAACGGCATGGGCTCGCAGTTCATGACGTCGAGGAGCCCTCCCAGGACTGCGACTTCCTGGGGCTGTCGCTGCGCGAGGGGCGCTGGCTCAGCCTTCGGACTCGCAACATCTGGCGCCTCCGCGCGGCCATCCGCGGCGCCCTGCGCCGCCGGCTGATCAGCGGGTTCCTGTTGCGCTGTGCTCACCGGCCACATCACGCGGGCCCTTCTGCTTCGACGAGAGATGCTGTGCGTGCTGGGGGCGACCTACGCATTCATTCAGGCCACCGGGCCCACGGCGGCGCCCCTGTGGCCTGCGGCGCGACAGGAGCTCCAGCTAATTCACGACCTGCTGCCCCTTTGCACGGCCGGCCTGGGCGCCCCCTGGCACGGGCGCGTCGCGTGTGCAGACGCCTCTCCGTGGGGACTGGGTGTCGTTGCTCGCCGCGCCCCAAAGGACCTCGCGGGCGCCGCGGGCCGAGTTGCTGACAAGTGGAGGTGCAAAGTCGAGGGAGGAGCGCAGGCGAGAGCTCGCACTGTAGGAGTGTCGGAGGAGACTGACGCCGCCGCCGCCGACCTCGGCTACCCCCCCTCGTTCGACAGCTCGGACAACGCGAACGTCGGTCCCGGGGGGAAGGGGGCGCAGGACGAGCTGGGGCGTTCGGCGCTCGATCCTCGCCCGCCCGTCGACTTCGAGGAGGTCCCCGCGCACTTCATTCGGGAGTCGGCCTGGGGCTCGGTCGCCGCGGTCTTCGTCGACGGTCAGGCCGACATCTTGGCCTTGGAGGTGGAGGTTCTCGTTCTTGGGTATCGCCATCTGCTACGGTCCACGTCTTCGTTCGGGTCCTGGTTCCTCGTCCTCTCCGACAACCTGCCCTTGGTCCTGTCGGTCGGGAAGGGCCAGGCTCGCAGCAGGCACCTCCAGAGCACCCTTCGCAATATCTGCGCGCTCTCCGTGGCCACTGGCTCAACCCTGTCTCCCTGAGGTCCCAGGGTTCTTGCGTTAAGAACCTAGATGTTAGGTTCTTGCGTTAAGATCCCGTTTCTTGCGTTTAGATCCCAAGTGGTCTTAACCCCCATGTTAAAATAAAATGCCCGAGAACATAATACATTCATATATTTCTGCAAGAAAAACAGCAAAACGATATCTACATATAGTATATGGTTTGCGATGTGTCCAACTTTCAACGCGGATGATAAATGTAAGAGAGGGAAACGCGCACATGACTTAATTGCTTCGCGTTGCTTGGCATTGCTGTGCATTGCCTCTCGTTGCGTTGTTTGACATTGCTCCGCATTGCTGCGCTCAGACATCGCGGGGGGTTTCCAGCGCGCCCGTCCGTGCAGTCACGGTGGCGGATCCATTTGTATAAACAAATGCGCCCAGACGGGTCGGGGGATTCAGATGCCCCTCCTTTCTCGATCGAAGTCGGTGGCCGCAAGGCTTTCGGGCAGAGGGAAACTGACGAGGGGGAGGGCGAGAAGGCGAAGTCTTCTCGAGGAGCGGACGGGGTGGCGCCGCTGCCGTTTGGAATCAAGCCATACAGCGGCAACGTGCTACACGCACCATGGCCCCTCGCAGGAAGAGGCCAGCAGCCGCGAATGCCGCGGTGGATGGCGACGACTTCGACGACGACAGCGGCGAGGCTGCGCCCCGCGGCCGCGTCCACGGCGCGAACGCCGACACGTTGAAGGAGGTGCTGGGGCCGATGGTGACCTCGAGCGTGCGCTACCACTACAGAGAGAATGTGGGCTCTGGCCCGATGAACACCGACATCCTGAAGCAACACTTCGGCACGATCGCGGCAGTGCTCAAGGAGTACCCCAACGGCAGCGTGACGCAGAGCACGGCGTTCGACGTCTTCTCTCACTTTGCGCGGGTGAATGATGAGCATTGGCATCTCGGACCAGAGAAAACAGGATGGGCTACCTCGCAGGCAAAACGCTTGAGGGCGATGCTCAGGGACGTCAGCCAGCAGATCCTTAAGGTGAGGAAGAACCCGACCAGGAAGGCGCCGCAGTGGCTCCTCCCGTTCATGAAGGCGACGATGACGCCCGAGGAACATCGGGCTTAAATGTTATCGGAGGGGGGGTAGGAGGAGGAGGAGGAGGAGGAGGAGGAGGGGGGGGAGGAGGAGGAGGAGGAGGAGCAGGAGGAGGAGGAGGAGGGGGAGGAGCAGGCGCAAGAGCATGGGCAGGAACAGGATGAGGCAGACGAGCACTAGCAGCAACAGCATAATAAGGGAAGTCGTTTTGGGGGATGGCAGAATGAGGTCAGAGTTCGGAGTGGTGGGGGGGGAATTCATCGACCAATCCATCGCGCGTCCATCGGCGGCGATGGACATGCGATGGAGTTGCGATGGGCACCCCTTCCACCACCCCGAACTCTGGCCTCGCGACCCCCCAGCTCACCGGTACTCCCCGCAGGAGCTCGCGAAGGCGGAGCCCGTCGCGAGCGCGGAGGTGCCCGACGCCGCAGCGCCCAACCACACCGAGGACGCGCCTCCTCCACCTCCTCCCACTCCTCCTATTCCGCACCCTCTCATCGGAAGGAGGCCGAGGACACGTTCGTGAAATACGCATACGAGTACGACGAGGAGATGCAGGCAGTCGGGGTAAATGCAACCCCGTCCTCCTCGTTATCCTATTCCTCCTTCTCATCCTCCTCCTGATCCTCCTCTCTTCCTCCTCCTCCTCCTCCTCCTCCTCCTCCTCCTCCTCCTCCTCCTCCTTCTCCTCCTCCTCCTCCTCCTCGTCCTCCTCCTCCTCCCACATTCGCCGCTCCGTTATTATGCATCCTCGTCATCTTCGTTCTTGCACTCGACCTCGTCCTCGTCCTCCTCATGTCCTGTCTTCTTCGACGTCCTCCTCGCCTTCGTTCTTCAATCCTCGCTATTTCACTAGATGTCATACTCCCTGTCCTTATCCTGCCCTTCATCCTCATCCTCCGTGTCCTTTATCTTCATCTTCTTCGTTCTTTCACTCGATCTTCTCCTCATCATCTCCCTCCTCTTCCCTCTTGCACTCGCCCTCCTCCTCCGCCGCCTCCTCCTCCTCCTCTCTCGACCTCCTACTCCTCCATCCTCATCCTGCCTTGACCTTACTCCTACCCCCCCTCCTCGTCAAGGGGGGGGGAAGGGCGGTTGAGCTTATTTTGAGGAGGAGGAGGGGGAGGAGGAGGTGGAGGAGGAGGAGGAGGAGGAGGGGGAGGAGGAGGAGGAGGAGGAGGGAGGAGGAGGAGGAGGAGGAGGCGGAGGAGGGGGAGGAGGAGAACGGTGAGGAGGGGGAGTCGGGGTCGCTTGCGCTTCCCCCAGGCTGCTTTCAGGCGCGAGGTCTGGAAGAAGCCCAACGGCGAGGAGTACCAGACGAAGAAGATCAAGTCGGTGACAGCGCCCCAGAGGCCATCGCCAGACTGCGACGACAACGCCCACCCCGTGGTGAAGTTCAAGAACACAGACGGCTCGGGCGACACGTGCACGATCGAGACTGTGACGGTGGGGCAGCTGCTGAAGAGGCCTACGACAGGAGAAGCGACGATGGGCACGAACAAGGTTGAAGAGTGGAACGTGAACGCGTTCGACGGGAGATTGGTCTTGCGCTGGAACGAAGAGAAAGAGAACAAGGAAAAGAACCGCAAGCGCAGCATGATGCTGCAGCTCCAGTTCCACGGCAGCTCGGAAGGCACGAAGCAGATCGCCCAGGTCGCGACGACAGACCTCGACGAAGTTGCCGTGGCCAAGGCCGACAAGTTCATGAAGCAGCTGGGACGCGACTTCTCCGACGGCAAGCTGGGCGGGGACTTTGCCGAGAGCAAGGCCGAGGCAAAGAAGCGCAGGGGTGACTGGCAGGCGGCGGTTCCCCCGAAACAGACGGCCGAGAAGAAGAAGGTGTTGGCCGCGAAGAGGCCTGCCGTGGCGACCGCTCGCGACGTCGAGCCGACGAAGGCTGCCAAGAAGGCGAACGGTGGGCCCGAGACGCACCCCGAGGTCGAGCAGGCAACTGGTGACACCTACCCCGTCACGCCCGTCAAGGTTCCGAGGGCCAAGCAGCCCGTGGGCGCCACCGCCATCCCCACGGCCATCCCCGAGGCCGAGCCGATCTCGTCGGACACTGAGTGAGGCTGGCTAGGCAAAACCATTTCCGAAAAGATTCGAGGGGGAATCTGATAGTGAAAACTGTAACTCTGCTATCCCCTCGCACCCCGCTCCAGCAGGGCCCACCCCTCCGATCGAAACACAGTCGAACGCCGAACAGCTTGACCCAAAATGGCTACGGAGGAAGAGGAGGAGGAGGAGGAGGAGGAGGAGGAGGAGGAGGGGGAGGAGGAGGGGGGCAGGGGCAATGAGGAGGAGGATGTGGAAGCGAAGATGGGGACGATGAGGATGAGTGGGGTTGATGGTTCAGAATCGCCAACGGCACCGCTTCTGGGAACAATTTCAGGGAGAGTCGGGCGTTGATTAGTTGCAGGGCCATGCCCGCGAGGCCCAGGTTCTGGCCCGAGACGGGGTCTCAGGTTCTGTTTGGGACGACGACGACGACGACCAAGTCAAGACCCACGTCCAACGGACCAACACCAACCTACCCCACCAACACCACCACCCCACCACCAGCACTGCACCAGCGACCAGCACCAGCTCCAGCTACCAGCACAGAACCTTCACCGAGCACCAGCCACCCAGCTCGACCACACACCACCACCACTACAACCATTCACCACCACCACAAACTCAACACACAACACAACTCCACCACCACCCGAGCCACATCACCAGCACAGCACCTGCACCAGCAACGCACAACGCACCAAGCACCAAGCAAACAGCACCAGCAACCAGAACAACCAACCACACCAACACACCACCACCACAACCACCGCCTGCTTTTGAACGCAGCGATAGCACGATCTGGATAAGGGCGTTGCGTCGTTTCTTGATTTCATGAGGAGTGGCAAGCCCTCTTGCCTAGAGTCCTCGAGTTCACACTGAGACCAGCTAATTTCAGAGAGACTCGTATCTGGCGGATGTTGGCTGCCTCGTCGGCCAGTGGCCCAGCGGGTGACGGAGTTCCAATGGCCGAGGTCCTAAGCTCCCAGTCGGGCTCTGAGAGCACCGAGCCACCAGAGGGTGGCCACGGCCAAGAGACGGCCGACTTCTACTCGGAGAGGCGCCGCAAAAGGCTTTGCAAGGGGAAGATGGCAGACCGCCCCCGCGACGACCAGAGCGCCCTTGCCGAAGCCCAAGAAGAAAGCTCTGACGACAAGCCGCTCCAGCCGCAGATCGCTGCGGGGACGCCCCGGGAGACGCCCGCGCAGAGCCACCAGAATGAGGAGGACGCCAATCCTGAGAGCATCGATCAGCTGATGGAGCAGGCCCTCGACGGCGCCGCCAACGGCGGCGCGGCGACCAGTGCAGAGGGCAGCGTCGAGGCGACGGCCGCCCAGACGCCCAGCGACGCGGCGACGGCCGCCCAGACGCCCAGCGGAGAGCCCAGCGTCGCGGCGACGGCCGCCCAGGCGCCCGCGACAGCGGCGCCGCCTCGGGCCCCAGCCGGTGACCAGGATGAGGACGACTACGAGGACACCTACTCTGAATGGGATGACTCGGGCGTCCTCCCCCCTCCTCCTCCTCTACAGGAGGAGAAGTAGGGGGATGAGGAGGAGGAGGAGGAGGATGAGGAGGAGAAGGAGGAGGAGGATGAGGAGGAGGAGGAGGAGGAGGAGGGGAAGGAGGAGGATGCGGGGGGAGGGCGAGAGGGCAAGGGGGTGCGCGCCCCAGAAGGACAGCCCCGCTACGCCCTTGTACAACAACGCGGTGGTCGAGGACGCGATCTTCGCCTTGGATAAGAACAAGCTTCTTGAGGCGATGGGGGCTCTTTCACTGCCCACCCATTAGCTTCAGATGAATATCAGAGGCGGTGGGGGGGGCGGTGGAGGGCGAGGGCTCCATCGCGACCCCATCGCGACTCCATCGCACGCGATGGAGTTGCGATGGAGTCGCGATGGAGTTACCCCGAAAGGCTGCGAAGGGCACTGACATCATAGCGCTCATGAATGCCAACCTTGCCAAGAAGAACAACCAGGCCGACAAAATCCAGAAGGAGTCAGCTGGCGACGTCTTTAAGGCAACGAACATGCTCTATTCCATCGCCGAGAAGACCATGAGCAGCATTAACAAAGGTCCCTGAGATGGCGGGGGAGCCCGAGTACGAGACGAACGCTGCGGTTGCAGCAGAGTTGAAATTCTGGGAAGACGTGAAAACCATGGGCTTCGAAGTTCCGACGTCTGGAAAAATACATGCGGTAGCCCTCAGGTGGGATAGGAAATGCAAGTCAGATAAGGAGTTCAAGAAACGCTACGAGTCGGAGATCGGCGCCGAGGCGAAACGCACGTTCAGGACCAATTGGGCAAAGGAGAAGTACGAGGAGGCCAAGGAGAAGAGGAAGAAGGTGGACTTGCGCTACAAGAAGACCATCAAGAAGAGGACAGGAATGCGGCAAGACGACGACTTTGAACGCCCTCAGGAAGTTCCCCCCCCTCGGGCGCATTGCGTGGCTCGAGGGGGGGGGGGGGGGGGGGGGGGGGGGGCGCGGAGGGCTTCGCGGCGGCCGTGGGCAGCGCCATATCGCGCTTGATGGCAGGGCCAAAGTATTTCACACTCCACAGCTTTACACGGCGCATTCGCTGGAGCTATTCAGTCGATGAGGAGGAAGAGGGCATTGAGGAGCAATGGGAGCTCGAGATGGAGTGGATCCACAAGATCGGGAACGGGGAGGTCGCCACGCCCGCGGACCAGGGCGCGCTGGACACCCCGCCGAAGGAGAATCCCGAGGAGGCCAAGGCGGAGATCGCGGAGGGCTCCAAGGGGATTCAACGGACCCGCAAGCGTGGGGCCGAGGGCGAGGAGGCTGGGGGCACTGGCGATGCGGACCCCGCCGTGGCGAAGGCAAAGGCGAAGGCGCTGGCCGCGGAGAAGGCCAAGGCTCGCAAGGAGAAGGCGGCGGCGGCCGCCAAGGACAAGGGCTCCGCCAAGAAAGCGGGCGAGGGCAGCCAAGAGAGGCCGCGGGGCCTCGCGTCTCTCAAGGGCAACGCGGAGAGTAAGGCGAAGCAGATGCGGAACAACGTCGCCTGCATGCTGGTCCAGACGAGGTCGTTCAAGGAAGAGGTCGCTGCCCAAGCTGGCGAGTGGGCAACGAAAGACGTCGAGATGTTCGACAAGCTCTACTCCGACTTGGAGGGCAAGCTCATCCCTGGCAGCTTCAACGACAAGTGTCTGAAGTCGACCGACCACGCGGAGCTCAAGAAGGAGATGGTCCAGTCGCACGGCCCCGAGGCATTCGCCAGCAAGCTCGAGGCGTTCAGCGTGGAGGTCGACGCGGTATCGTTGAAGCTCCAGGACCACATGAAGTTCATGAAGAACCAGCTGCAGCCCCGCATGTCCTCGTCTTCGGCGGCCTGACGGTCTACTTGATTGTGGGCTACCACTTCGGATCAAGCTGCAGTACATCGCAAGATGCTCGATCGGGGGGCCGTGCCTGGGGGGCGAGTTCTGAGCGAGCACTGCATGGCGCAGTGAACTCTGATCTGCTTGAGCCCAGTGACTTTGGGAGTTGCCGCCTACGGGCAGCGCGCAGGCACGTGCGAGGGAGGATGAGGATGAGGGCGAGGGGGGATGAGGATGAGGGCGAGGAGGAGGAGGATGGAGGATGGAGGATGGAGGGGGAAGACGACAAGGGGGGAGGGGGATGGAGAGAAGGCCTCCTCCTCCACCCTCCTCCCCCTCCCCATCGCCCTACTCCTCCTATTCCCCGTCCGTCCTTCTCCCGACAACCCGCCCTTTCCTACCTCAGGGGCTCGGCTGCATGGCGTTGGCCATCGCGATTGCGCTCGTGCTTGCGTAGTCTGGCATTTCTTCTGCCTGAAACGCAGATTTCAGAAGAAACACGCGAACTGAGCCCGAAACCCACCGATGGACGACCGATGGAAACGCGATGGAAACGCGACCGATGGACGACCGATGGAGGACCGATGGAATCGAGCCCTCGCCTGAGACATCCTCACAATTTGAGCGATGGATCGCTGTCGGTGGACCGGCGGAGGCCCGAGGGGCGACCGATGGAAGAGCGATGGAACACCGATGGAGGAGGGTGGAGGGCCAAAGGCTTTTAAGAGCAAATACAACATATTTCAGGCAGGAGTGCAGCGGCTGCTCGCGTTTGTGGCTGCAGTGGCGCACTTTCGATCGGAATAGGTGTTGTTCCAGGCGTTGCGAAAGAGTTGCGCGTCAGATGCCGCCGATACTCACCGCGGGGATGGGTCAGAACGCTGTCATGTGGGCGAACGTGTGCGCAACTTCTCGCGCGTGCAGTGTGCGTGTGGGTTCCAGAAGATACCCAGTGAGTTGCACTTGGTCTCTAAGGGCCCCCACCCCACATGGCGAGTGCACCTGCCGTAATCAGTTGCCCAAGTTCGTAGCAATAGGTTGCCCCCCTTTTGGTATACATCGCGCCGTGGCAGCTTCGATGGATCGCGCTTCCGAGGTGGAGCGAGAGTTGCTTCGAGCTAAATGGAGGACTGCTGGTGCACATTTGCTCAAACATTTGATCTCGTTGAAAGCAGCGGGTAAAATTTCAGCACGGGATCTCTGCGTAGCAGCCCACTACTGTCACGAAGCTGGAGTCTTAGGAGCTGATTATTCTCGGTACGCCCTACCCCCTGGTAAACAAACAGGAAAGTACCAGCGTAAACTCGACTCAGTTTTACCAGGCCCTGGTCCGATCATATGGGAAACTGTGCCCGTCATGTCACATCACGACATAAAACGCACAGAGCAATCGATTCCCTTTTCTGCCATGTGGGAGGTTATCAGTAGCGACATTGAGAAGGACCCAACGATTCTCGCAGCTGTTCCAAATATGGAATGGCCGAAAGTTTATCATGAACATCCCGTGGTACGCGATGCCCTCGCCCGAGGGGATCCTCAACCCTTACCCCTCGCAGTGTTCATGGACGGGGTTAGATGCACGTCACAGATTGCGGGCAGGGCGGATAGTATTCTTGGTATGTGGGTAGTGAACTTAGTCACATCTAGAAGATATGATTTCGGATGCGAGCGCATGCTTGAGATATGCAGGTGCGGTTGTAGGGGGTGGGACACAACCTTTCCCGTGCTCAATTGTTTCGGTTGGCAGCTGGCCCAACTTGCTGAGGGTCGCAGGTTTGAGCAGCGCCATGACCACGCAGAGTACGCCGTAGATGATCCTGTTGCATTGCTCCGTGCCGAAAAGGGCATCTCGCTCGGGTTTAGGGCGGCAGTTATTTGGCTGAAAGGAGATCTCGCCGAATTCTCGCACACACTTGGCTTCCCGAGTGTATCGTCCAAGTTTCATTTATGCCCGTTCTGTGATTGCGCGTCAGGTAATTGCCATGATTACGAAGCATGCAGGGTTGACCACTCCCCGTGGGGCCTCAAGAATAATCAGTCATACATGGCAGCCTGTCGGGACAGATGCAAGACTGTAGTTATCGCTGATGAAGGGGAGAGGCGGAGCATAATAGAGACGGGTCGCCTGACCCCAATGGATGGGAAAGGGTATTGGGGGCAAACATTGATGAGCGGGGTACCGCGTCTAGGGCTGCAAGCCGGTGATCGACCCGAGCCCTTCGACGGACTCACCGACCCAGCGAAGCTGGAATCTGTGGATTTGCCAGCGCACCTTCTGTTCTGGAGGCCTACTCTGACGGGGGACAGAAAACTGTTGGACCCCGTCGTACATCCATTTCCATTGATCTCAGATCAGAGGACGGGGATTGGGATAGAGAACATAACACTCGATACATTGCACGTTTTGTATTTCGGGCCTGTACAACGCTGGGCGTCAACAGTGACCTGGAGAATATTATTTCATAACCCGTGGGGCGTTCGGGCAAACACATTGGAAAACAGATTGGACATAGGTGCAAAACATCTTAGGGCAGATTTGCTGGAATGGCAAGAAGGCAAGGTAGAACCAGGTGATATGATTAACGATTTGACGCTGTCAATGCTGGGTGATAGACGCGACGCCAGGGATTCCGTGGAGCTGGCTCACCCAGGCTGCGCAATGAAACTAAAAGGCCATGAAAACGGCCTGATATTGTTATGGGCGTGTGATTTGCTGGGGAGGCTCGGGGATGGTATACCGTTTCAGCGTGAGTTATCACGCGCGGGCGTTGCGCTATGCAGGTTTTTGGAAACGATTCGCTCGGCGCCGAGGGTGCCCTCAAATGAACAGTGCGAGTTGTTGTTTGAGGACATGTTGAGCGCGAACATAGCAAGTAAATCAGCGAATATTCAACTAGTACCCAAGCACCATTTCTTCTACGAGCTCGCCAGAAGGGCTGCGCTTTCTGTTTTTTTTTTTCTTGCAGTGTAGGGGACATGGGGCTTGGCAGGTGTAGGGGTTATGTTAATTCAGGAGGGGGTGGGTTCTCTTTTTGGGCCAACATGGGCCCCTCGGGATCTGTTCCGATATAGCGACGGTGGCCCGTGGTTCGTGGCTCGTGGCCCGCTGCTGAGGATTCAAAACGTCGGCGCACAGGGTGCCGTATCTTGGCAACCCCACCTCGTGCGCATGCTGGAAAGACGAGGCACTAAATGCCGTGCTTCGTTCGTTTGCTGAGGTGGCCCACAGGAGCACGTTTTATATGCGCATACATTTGTCGTTCAACCTCGTGGCACATTTACGCCTCAATCCTTTCATTGCAGCGCACCTAGATACTTCGGATAGTGGACTTGCCTTCGATGACGAAGACGTGGACTTCAGCAGTGCCATCCTGGATAGTTGAGGAAGCTAAGGATCTGCTTGCGCAAGGCAAACTTGTTGAACCTTTAGATCCGCCACTCCTTCTAGAGTTGGTGCAGCGGGCGTCTGCGAAGTGGACAATCGTTCGAAACGTATCGTTGGTGCTGCTGTTCTCTGGATTCGGCGAGGCCGCCAGATTCGGCCAAGACTGGGGGCTTGAGACGTTTACGGTTGAGCGTCTAGACTCTGGCGATCAAGATGTGACGAGTCTCGTGGGATGCCTGTACGCAGCATGTTGTGTCATGAAGCTACTTCCCAATGGCTTGCTGTCGGCGTCGCCTGAGTGCCGAACTTGGCTAGTGTTCATCAGCCGCCACAGCTTTAAACGAGGCCATGAGAACGCATTCATTGGCGATGCGAGCAAAGAGCCCGTTCGCGAGGCCAACTGTTGCGCTATGGTTCTGCGCAGGCCTCAGTTCTCGCAAGGCTCTCGACTGCTGGCGGTCAGACCGATCCCCCATCCGATATCACTTTCTTGTGTTTCCAATCGCGTTTAGATCGCGTTTCGCTTGTAGCGTCGCAGTGCGACGAAGGCCACAGACGACGACGACGACGACGACGACGAGGACGAGGACGACGACGACGACGACGACGACGACGAGGGCGAGGACGAGGACGACGACGACGACGACGACGCTTTGGCGCAGTAAGGTCATGGCTGTGGTTTCTTGCATGGGTTAGGGGCTGCTTTGCCGTGATCGAGCAGCCGATCAATAGCATGCTGTATGATTTCTTGCCAGTCAGCGAGGTGCTCAGGCTTTCCGAATCCAAGAGGGTAACGACGTGGATGTCAGGTTTTGGATCAGCTCACCAGAAAAACCTTGAGCTATATAGCACGTGCCCGCTGGACACGATTTGCAATCAATATGGAGGGGTAGGGATGAGGAGGAGGTGGGCGATGAGGTGGAGGAGTAGCTGGAAAAAAAAAGCAGGGAGACAATATATCGCCGATCCATCGCCACTCCATCGCCGTTCCATCGCCAACGATGGATCTGCGATGGAGATGCGGCGAAGTGGCGATGGAGCGGCGATCTATTGTTTCTGCGCTCGTGTTTGATGGGGGGTCGATCAATCAGAGGACCTCCTGAACACATACTTAGTTAAGTCCAAAGCTGACGGCATCAAGAGGATGTGCGAGCAGGGCCTGAGCATGAACCGCTGACCACGTACACCCAGACTGGATGGGAGATCGGCACGTCTATGATGAAAGGCAGCCAGACGCATCCAGCCGACCTCTCTTGCGCTATAGCGCAGCTGGCAGCTGCGCTAATTCACCGCGGTTTTGCATCGTAGCTTTAGGGGGGCTCTGCTAGGGCATCTGGGGGGGCACTGTGGACCAGCTTGGACTGACGGGAAATGTTCGCATGAGACGCGATGGGGCCCCGACTCACTCACCCCACCTAGGTAAGAAGGACGAGGAGGGGTGAGGGAGGATGGAGGGCTAAGGGGCGGGGAGGGGGGAGGGAGGAGGGAGGAGGGAGAGGGGGTGGGGCTAAGGGGCGAGGAGGGGGGAAGGAGGAGGGAGGAGGGAGAGGGGAATGGGACGAGGGGCGAGCTCTCTGTCCTCGGCGGCGCCCCTGCTGGCCCTCGCCAGTGACGCCGAGGGGCAGGCGGAAGGAGAGCAAGAGATGACCAATCGCCGCCCCGTCGCTACTCCATCGCGTCTCCATCGGATTTCCATCGATTGCGATAGAGCGGCGATGGAGTGTCTCCTTGCTGTTCTTTTTCGCCTTACCCGTGGTCCACCACCTGTCCCCCTTACCCTCCTCTCCCCCATTCCCTTCCCTTATTTCTAGCGTTGTCCGCCTCGTCATTATTCGTCGCCCTCCCGAGCCTCGTATTGGTTTCCTCCTCCTCCTCCTCCTCCTCCTCCTCATTCTCTCTCCCCTCCTCCTCCTCCTCCTCCCCCCCTCCTCCTCCTCCTCCTCCTCCTCCTCCTCCTCCTCGTATTCCTCATCCTCTTCCTCTTCCCTCCTCCTCCCTCCCTTCTCCTCCTCCTCCGCCTCCTCCTCCTCCTCCTCCTCCTCTCCTCCTCCCTCCTCCTCCCTCCCTCCTCCCTCCTCCTCCTCCTCCTCCCCCTCCTCCTCCTCCTCCTCCTCCTCCTCCTCACTTCCCCGCTCACCCACTCCGTCTGCCTCGACTCCCCCCCCCCCCCTCGACCCCCTCCTGGCCGCGCCATTCTCCGCCACAATCCACCCCTCATTTGTCCTCGCCGCCGCTCCCATCCGAATCCCGAGCCTCTTCCACAGCCGTCGGTGCGCGAGCATTCGGGCGTCCCTGGGGAGCGGGTCGCGATGAGTGTATCGATGTGGTCATGCACGTCAGAGTCCGACGAGGAGATGGCACTGGTGAGTTCCTCGTCGGATTCCGACGAGGAAATGGCGCTAGCCAGGGAGATGGAGATGGTCATAGTTAAGACGATGGCTCGGACTCGACGGTTCAACCTGCAGGAGGCCCCGAGAGGGCCGATCACCCCGTCCCTCGCACCCGATCGGGCAGTGAACAGCCCAAAATCGAGCGTCAAAATTTTGGGCCCTCGGGGGCCTTCGAGGGCCACCCCTCTCCCGTAACCCTTCTTTCCCCAGGCAGCTTCCAAGGAGGCATTCGGCATCAGGCAGCTGGCGAACGCCAGCAGGGGGCTTGCGAATATGGAGTTGGACTGCATCGTAATTCGGAACCTCCGTTCCTCTGGGAAGGCTTTGATCGGGTACTCTCGAAAGCCACCCCCGCAGCCGTGAATGTTATGTTTATCAGCTCCCCCTCCTCGATCATTGATTCCCCCCTTCCACCCCTCCCTCCATTGGGGCCTTCGAAATCTACATTTCGGGCGATTGATTCGACGTTTGCCGAATATGGTGGGCGGAGGGGTGCGTGTGGGGGGTCAGTGATCTAAAAGGGGGAAATGTTAAACATAACGTCTACGGCTGTGGGGGTGGCTTTCAATAGGGATACCGTGCGAACGGAACGAGGAACTCTGAGGCTGTAGTCCCGCGCGGTGTGCTCACGGTTAGTTGGCTCTTTCGCATCGGCTACTGCATCTTCCCACAGGGAAATTGCCGTTTCTGGGTCGAGAATTTCTGGCATGTGTTTCAAATCCCCGCCGATCCTGTGACTGGGCCGCCGCTCGCGGATCAGGAGCTCGACGATATGCTTGATCACTGATTGTGCCTAGGCGAGAGCTCACGGATGGTTGGTTTCTGACTGGGGCAAAACAGGAGGAGGGGGGGAAGAGGGGGGGGAGGAACAAGAGGAATAGGATGACGAGGAGGATGACTAAACTGAGGAGGATAATGGAGAGGAACAGGAGGAGGAAGAGGAGGGCGAGGAGGAGAAGGAGGAGGGAGGAGGAGGCGAGGAGAGAGAGGAGGGACGAGGACGAGGACGAGGAGGAGGAGGGGGAGGAGGAGAGGAGGAGGTTTTTTTTGGACATCCACGATCAAAGACCCCAGTGACAGGGCAAAAAGAGAGGTCGGCGAGAGCGAAAACCGCTCCTGCCAGACTCAATGAGGAGGAGGAGGAGGAGGGAGGAGGAGGAGGAGGAGGAGGAGGAGGAGGAGGAGGGGGAGGAGGAGAGGAGGAGGGAGGAGGAGGAGGGAGGAAGGAGGAGGGAGGAGGAGGAGGAGGAGGAGGAGGAGGAGGAGAGGAGGAGGAGGAGGAGGGAGGAGGAGAGGGAGGAGGAGGAGGAGGAGGAGGAGGAGGAGGAGGGGGAGGAGGAGGAGGAGGAGGGTTTTGTTTAACATCAACAACTGTCACCAGGACTCTGGACTGAAGTGAGCACGGGGGCACCACGCGCAGAATCGAGGCCCCACGTGCCGAGCGTGGGCAGCACGCGGCTCCCCGTGCCCAGCGCAGGAACGAGCTCGCGTGAAAGGACTGCAATGATTAAAAACAGGTTTTAAATCAACCTCACAGGTGAGGTCAATGACCGCCGCTGGCAGCACCCAGCCGAAGACAGACCACCGCGGCCCAGGCTATGCCCAGACCAGGAGGCAGAAGAGAGATGCCGCCCGCACAGCAGCCGCGCGCTCCCGAGCGCCCAAGCAAGCCCGAGGAGGGAGGCCGTCGTGCCGACCCGCGCCCAGCTAATTAAAGCGAGCTGGCGCACACCTGCAGGCGCGCCAGTTTCAACACGATGTTTTGGGAAAACACATGTCCACCCGATGGTCCAACGCCTGGGGCAGCGCGCGGAGGGCTCGTCGTCGTCGCCGCCGTCGTCGTCGTCGTCGTCGCCGCCGCCGCCGCCGTCGCAACGCGCGATGCTTCAAACGAGTCGGCTCAACTTTGGAAAATCATTCAAAATGCAAGAACCCTGGGTTCTTATATTCTAAGCGAACATCTAGGTTCTTAACGCAAGAACCCTGGGACCTCAGGGCTGTCAGGTGGATCCCGTCGGAGGCGAATCCCGCCGACGGGCACGGTCGCGGGCGCGCTGGCTGGTTCTCCGGCAGTCGGCCAGCGCCGGCACTGCCGGGCGTGGGGCTGCTGGATCACGCGGCTGCACTGGTTGCTGGCGCTCCTCCTCCGGGCCGCGCTGGCTGGGAGGAAGCAGGCGGCCCCGACGGCGTCGGCGCTGAGGGGCGAGCGAGCCCGCCGCGCGCAGGAGCTTGCAGCTGCCGCGGCGCCGGTCCTGGGGCTCTCGCTGCTGGAGCGGCTGGCGGTGCGGCCCTCGACCGAGAAGCTCTACCGGGGGGCGCTGTCGGCCTTCGCGAGCTTCTGCGCAAGGCGCCGCCTGGACTGGACGGACCATGCCAGCCTCGACTCGGTCCTCGTGCAGTACATGGACAGCGAGTTCCTCCTCGGCGGCGGCGGGAACATGGGGAACGTGCTCCTGGCGGCGGTCGCCCACTTTCTCGGCTCGCTCCACAAGCGAGCGGCGACGCAGCTGCCGAGGGCGCGCCGCGCGGCTGCAGCCTGGGCCCGGCGGGCGCCGGGCCGCGCGCGCCTCCCGCTGCCGCGGCGAGTCGTGTTTGCCATCGCGGGCGTCCTCCTGCGCGACGGGCACTCCCGGCTCGCCATCTGCATCTTCGTCATGTTTGCATGCTACCTCAGGCCCGGGGAGGCGGCGAAGCTGCGCGGGCGCCACTTGATAGCGCCTTCTGCCTCCGCGGGGACGCTCTACCAGTACTTCGGGCTGCTCCTGCACGAGAGCGGCAAGGGCCCAGGCAGGACGGGCGTGAACGACGAGAGCATCCTCTTCGACCGCGATGGCTGGCTCGCCCCCCTGCTGGCGGCCTTGAAGCTCAGCGCCCTGCCCGACCAGCCGTTGTGGGGGGAGGCGATCGCGCAGCTGCCGAAGCTCTTCGATAGCGCCTGCCGGGAGCTGTCGCTGGAACGCCTCCGACCACACTTATACAGCTTGCGTCACGGCGGGGCCTCGGACGACATGCTGTCGCAACGGAGGTCTCTGCCAGAGATCCAGAGGCGCGGGCGATGGCGGTCCGCGAAGAGTCTCAACCGCTACACCAAGGAGACAAAGCTGCTGGACGAGCTCGCCTGGATCCCTCCGGCTGCCCTGGAGCTCGGGGCTTTCGTCGAGGACAATTTGATGGCGCTCGTCGAGGGCTCCCTCCCCGCGCTGCTGGCGACTGGCCGCGTGCCGGCCGGGGCCGCCGGCCTGCTCGGAGCTCAGGCCGTCGCCCCCCAGCGGGCGCGGAAGCGGCCGGCGGCGGCGCGGTGGCGGCCGCTGGCGGCGCGGACGCCAGCGCGGCGGCTGGCGGCCCAGCCGCCATCAGGCGGCGCCTGCGGCGGCAGTACCAGCGCGCGGCGGCCCCAGGGCGCCGGCTGCGTCGTCGGCCCGTGCTGGAGCTGTTCTGCGGCGCCGGCACGATAGCTCGTGCGATGGTGGCGCTGGGCTTCGCCGCCTTCGGGCTCGACTGGAGCCGCAGCCCGCTGGAGGACCACGTTGCGGCGACATTCCAGACCGTCGTCCTTGGCTGGATCCAGTCCCGAGCGGTGGGCGCCGTTTGGCTCGGCACGCCGTGCGCGAGCTGGGCGAGGGCGCTCCGGCGGCCGCTGAGGTCCGCGCTCCACCCGCTCGGTCTTCCTGATCTGAATGCCCATGAGCAGGCCGGGGTAGGCGCTGGCAACGCTACGTACCGCTTTACGCTCAGAGTGATTCGCGCATGCATTGCAGCTCGAGTGCCCGTATACTTAGAGAATCCACAGACCTCGCTCATTTGGTCTGGCCCTGGGCTGGCTCGTCTGTGTAAGTCGCCCTCTTGTCGCAAGTCTGTGTTGCATCAGTGCCAGTACGGCGCGCTTTACAGAAAAGCCACCACCATCTGTTCTTGGGGTGCCGCCGCATCGCCGTTGCTCGAAAAGATTTGCGCTGGTCGCCGAGGGTTTTGCAGTAGGACTGGCAACGGGCACCTCGTTCTTGAAGGGAACGACGAGCAGGGTCAAAAGCGTACCGCGCTCGCTGCTGAGTACCCCTCCCAGCTCGCCGCTGCCGCTGCCCAGTGCATCGTTCAGTCCCTTTCTCTGCAGCCCGGGCAGGCCCTCCATTCGCTCGCCATGAAAATGACTAGTTAATGCGGCCTTTGGCCAGACAAACCTTCGGGATCGGGTGGGGGCCACCAAAGTGGGTCTCTGCTGCTTCTGGTGCCCGCGTCCGCCGTCTCATCTGCAGTTGCACGATTGCATCGCATCGCCTGGCCCTTTCCTGTCCCAAAAGAATGATGGCCTCGACGGCGTCGCGTACTGGTAGTTTTTACAATTGAATGCTGAGCGGAGACGGGGGACCGGACGAAACCTTGTAAAGTACAGTCGTCTGGGAGCAACGCAGAAACCTACCCTTTTCGACTGAAAAGGGTCGGTTTTTCTGCCGGCGAGAACACTACAGACGTCATTGGCTTGCATACGTACTCTTATTTGTGCTCAAAGTTTTCCCATTGCCATCCCGATTCGCCTATTTTGAACTGATCTGTCAGGGGTGGGGGCCACCAAAGTGGGTCTCTGCTGCTTCTGGTGCCCGCGTCCGCCGTCTCATCTGCAGTTGCACGATTGCATCGCATCGCCTGGCCCTTTCCTGTCCCAAAAGAGTGATGGCCTCGACGGCGTCGCGGAGAGCTCCAAGGGGGCCCCAAGAACCCTCCAAAAAGGCCCCAACAAGGCCCCCAGACAGCCACAGCCCCCCCAAACGCCCCCCAAAACGTCCCAGGACGGCCCGAGAGGGCGTGAAGAGGCCCCAAAAGGCCCCAAGAGGCCACCCAAGAAGGCTCGGAGACGCTACATGCATAGATGTTCGTTTGGTTCTCGTGCTTCATCACGCAACGAGTTCCAAACACCAAGGATCATCGGGCTCTGGAGGGGCTCGAGTTTTCGGGCCGTTCTTCAGCTTCATGTTCTGGGACCTGTTTGTGGCCTAGGCCCGCCCTTAACCAGAGACACCCATTCGTTCCTGATTATGCGTTCCTTTTGGTAGCACGTTGACTGTACAATCTCAGGTAGGTTGTTGGAGGCCGAATGCATGTGTCGTCATACGAACGCCGCTCTTTGACAATCTCCCTCATCGCGCTGAAGAGATCCGAACTGCTCCATTGCTGCAGCCTGGGCCTCGGGGAGCCCGGTGGCCCCGACCTGGGAGATGCACAGGAGGCGCTCGATGAAGCCACCGGCAGCGATCCCCCCGCTTCTCTTCTGGAGGATGGAGGAAGAGGATGAGGAGAAGGAGGAGGAGGAGGAGGAGGAGGAGGAGGAGGAGGAGGAGGAGGAGGAGGAGTTGGATGAGGTCGCGGAGGAGGGAAAAGGGAGGGGGAGGGAGGAGGACGGGGACGAGGATTAGCACGAGGAGGAGGAGGGGAAGGTGGAAGAGGACCAGGAGGAAGAATTTGCGGAACAGAAGGAGATGGACGAGGACACGAGGGAGGAGGGACGAGTCAGGAGCAGAGGGTGGAGCGTGCTTGTGCCCTGGCCGCCCATGATCTCAGAAGCGACGCGTGGTGCCGATTAAGCGGCCCCGAGGTGAAGAAGAAGACTCGCCGAGCCATCGGGAGGATTCTCCTGAAAGGCCCAGCCGTTCCCTGCACGGAGCCAGAGGAGGGGGGAATAGAGCTGGAGGGAGGAGTGCGGATGAGAGACGTATGGGAGGTATGGGGGAGATGTCAATGATAAGGTCGGATGGGGCGACATTCCTGAAGGTATACACTGACTGTGAGTGGTAGCTCATTCGCTCGCGCGTCTTCGCCGTTCTTCATTGTCGTCGTGCACTGGTCGTATGCATGGTGGCGGTGGTCATCGTCGTCGTCGCCGTCGTCATTGGGATGGTCGCCGTGTCTAGCTCCTGCTCTCCATTCCTTCCTCCTGCTCCTGCTCTTCCTCTCCCTCCTGGTTTTGCTCCTGCTAGTTGTGCTCTCCCTCCCTGTCCTCGTCCTAAACATTACCCTGTGGCAGTTTCTGGGGAACTGGCGAGGCACTGACTTGTCGCCCGCGAGCGAATTGCAAAATGAGGCTGCGGATGGGGCTGACAGGATACAGAGATGGAACTTCCCGGGGCTCGCGGAGCGTTCCTCTCCTCCTCGTCCTCGTCGTCCTCGTCCTCCTCGTCCTCCTCCTCCCCCTTTGTCCTCCTCCTCCCCGCGTCCCGAAACGATTACGAAAGGCCTTCTATCGCAATCTCGGCCTCCGAGGACCGCTTCCATGCCGATCAGCAAGCGGCCCGCGCTCCGACAAACTGGTCGTGGGGGAAGGGGGGGCGAGGGGGTGGACGAGAAGGGGCAGAGCTCTCCTGGAGAATCAGGGGCAACGTCGGAAGGGGGACGGACAGGCTCAGGGGGGGATGCACAGACCCCCAATCGCCCATGCATCGCCGACAGGGGCCTGACAGCCCACCCCTCCCAGGAGCGTGCGGATTCGCTGCTGGGGGGCCGTCGGCGATGCATCGGCGACGTATCGCCGATTCCAGGCCGGTGCTTCCCCCCCGCGAGCTGGCCCCCCTCTGTCGTCGCTGCCCCTCAGGCAGGCGAGGCCTCTGGAGGCCCCCTCCTCCCCTCCGACCGCGCAGCCTCTGCGCGACGTGGGCGCCCGGGGATCGGACCTCTGCCCGGGGACCAGGCTTTGTGATCCCTGCAGCTGTCTTTTTGAGGGCCCCAGGGGCCGGCAATCGGCGGCGAGCGAGGGTGGGCAATGCCTGCTCGGAAGGCGGCGGGACTCAGAAGCCCTCGAGCCTTCTGAGAAGTTGTTGTTGTCTTCGGGGAATGCTTAGAACATTTCTCAGAAGGCCAGGAGACTTCCGAGCCTTTTGAGAAGGCCTTCTCCTTCTCACTCCCCCCCCCTCGCTCGCCGCCGACGCAAGCGGCCTGCAGGGGCCGAACACGTCCATCAATCGGCCGTCGCATGTTTTTTTACAGCTCTTTGATCTGAGGCGCCTCTGGAGCTTCCTGCGGGTCCCCGGGAGGTCTTCGCAGCTCCCCAGAGGTCCCCCCGGTGGCCTCCTCTGGAAGCCACCGGAGGCCCAGAAAGGCGGGCCGCGAGCCCATCTAAGCCTCGACCCGCGAGCCTCGATCGCAGGTTTTGGCTCCTCGGCTTTCGAGCCTCCTCCCCCTCCTCCTCCTCCTCCTCCTCCTCCTCCACCTCCACCTCCTCCTCCTCCTCCTCCTCCTGCTCCTCCTCCTCCTCCTCCTCCTGTCAGCAGCCAGGCGACAACATCTGCCTCATGATGAACACGGGCGTGTGAGTCCAGGCCTCCCAACTAGTGCCAGAGCAGATGGGGCAGGGTAATCTCAGAAGGGGAACAGGTGCCGATACTGATATCATTCACCACTTACCACGACTAGGTTTGCTCGGTAATCTTGGTCAGAACGCACCCCTGCAGAGAGGTCCATCGAGTAGTGGTATCGGTGTGTGTATATGTATGTATGTATATATATATATATATATGTATCTGAAAGAGGGCGTGATCCACCGCTGCTGTACTCTGGAAAATTCTCCCCCTCTTCCTCCGGAACCAGGGGGTCCCCCCTCCCCTTCGAAATCCCTTCCCACTTCTGGACGCCCCCCCCTCCCCCCTTACCCGGCAAACCCCCTCCCCCTAACCCCTCCCCCCCCCCTCTGGAAAACTGGAGGGGTCACTACCAGTTCGAACCCCTCCCCCCTGTCCAGAAAGCCGGGGGGGGTCACTACCGCTTCGAACCCCCCCCTTTCACCGCCGGCAAACGATTCCCGCTCCTCGGGACAGTGGGACAGCGGAAAATGGGGGGGGGGTCACTACCGGTTCGAACCCCCCCACCCCCTCCGGAAAACCGCGGGGGGGTCACTACCGGTTCGAACCCCCCCTCCCTCCCCCCCCCTCCAGAAAAGTGGGAGGGGTCGCTACCGGTTCGAATCCCCCCCCTTTCACCGCAGGCAAACGACTCCCGAATCCCCACCACAGGTCCGCACCGCATCCCCCACCGCTGTCCCTAGCACCACCATCCACACCACCACTGTCCCCACTCCCACCACCGTCCCACCGTCCCCACCAGTGCCCCCACCACTGCCGCACTGTCCGCACTGTCCCCACCACTGTTCCCACCACGGTCCCACTCTCCCCACTTTCCCCACGGTCACTGTCCCCATTGTCCCCACTGTTCCACTGTCCCCGCCGCTGTCCCACGTAGCTGTCCCACTGTTCCCACCACTGTCCCCAACACTGTCCCCACTGTGTCCCTGTCCCACCACCGTCCTCACCACCGCCCTCACCACTGTCACCACCACCACCGTCCCCACCACTGTCCCACTGTCCCCACTGTCACCGCCGCTGTCCCAGTCCCCACACCACTGTCCCCACCACCACCGTCCCCACCACTGTCCCACTGTCCCCACCACTGTCCCAGTGTCCCCACTGTTCCCGCCATTGTAACTACCCGCTGTCCCCACCAGTGCCCCCACCAGTGTCTCACTGTCCCCACTGTCCCCACCATTGTCCCAGCACGGTCCCACTCTCGCCACTGTCCCCACTGTCCCCACCACTGTCCCATGGTCCCCACTGTTCCCACCACTGTCCCACTGTCCCCACTGTCCCCGCCGCTGTCCCTCTGTGCTGTCCCACTGTCCCCACTGTCCCCACCACTGTCCCACTGTCTCCACTTTCCCCACCACTCTCCCCACTGTACCACTGTCCCACCACCGTCCTCACCACCGCCTTCACCACTGTCCCCACCACTACCGTCTCCACCACTGTCCCACTGTCCCCACTGTCCCGCTGTCCTCTCACCACTGTCCCCACCACCACCGTCCCCACCACTGTCCCACTGTCCCCGCCACTGTCCCACTATCCCCACGTCCCCACCACCACCACCATTTCCACCACAGTCCCACTGTCCCCACCACTGTCCCACTGTCCCGAGGAGCGAGAATCGTTTGCCGGCGGCGAAGGGGGCGGGAGGGGGGTTCGAACAGGTAGTGACCCCCCCCCTTTCATGATGTGCGGGTGTGTGTGTGTGTGGAGTGGGGGCTTCGAACCGGTGGTGACCCCCCCCAGGTTTCGAGGGGGGGGGGGACGGGTTGGGAACCCCCAGTGACCCCCCCCCCGTTGCCCGCCAGCAGCGGTAGAGTACGCTCTTTCATATATATATATATACACATATGTGTATATATATATATATGTGTATATATGTTTTCCCAGGATCGCGCCGCATCTCCGATGCATCGGCGATGCGTCGCGATTTGGAACCTGCTGAACTCCATCCCGCCGTCGCCGAAGCATTGACGATGCGACGCGATCCTCCGACACTATCTTTAGTTTGCAACTCTTCGGATGTTCAATTGTTGGATCGGCGCTAGTACTTCCTTGGGTTTAACCTGCCAGATCTGGCTCCGCGCGGCCGCATCTGGCCCATTCCGGCGACCCGTGGTGCTGATCCGGGCCCCGTCCAGCGCCATACCCCCCCGCTCGGGCTCGATAGTTTTACGGCTTTCCCGCGAAGCCCTCCATGACCCGCCAGCCGAACCATTTGCTCTTGGCCCCCCTTGGGACGCCTGCGGTGAGGCGCCGCCGCGTGCTCCCAGGGGGCACCCGCGCGCAGCCCGTGGCGGCCATCAGGTGCGTGACCCCCTCCTGTCACACCACTCTCCCCTCCTCCGTTCTCCTTCTTCGCCCTCCCCCTGCTCGTCCTCATCCTCCTCCTCTGTCCTCCTCTGTCCTCCTCTGTCCTCCTCCTCCTCTGTCCTCCTCCTACTGCCCAGAGGGCGACACAGAGAGATGGCAATGGCATGGGCTTCTCTACGGCATCGGCGACTCAGATGGCGACACAGAATGGTGGAATGGGTCTCGCTACGGCGTCGGCTGCCCATATAGCGACCCAGAATGGGTGGATGGTTATCTCTACGGCGTCGGCGACTCAGATGGCGGCTCAGAAGGGTGGAATGGGTGTCTCTACGGTGTTGGCTGCTCAGAAAGCGTCCCGGAAAGGTAGGATGGCTGTCTCTACGGCAACATCAATGCAGACGGCGACCGAGAGAGATGGTGGTGGAATGGCTGTCTCTACTGCGTCGGCTGCTCAGATGGCGACCCAGCATGGTGGGACGGGCCTCCCAACGGCGTCCGTGAGACGGAAGGCGACCCAGAGAGATGGTGGGATGTCCTTTGGGATGTCCACGGGAGGGGCTGACGGCCCCGGTCGGGGCGAGGAGTCAGCGGCTGCGTCTTCTCGCGGCCCAAGACATGTTGACCGTGATAGCTCGTTGAATGACTTGTGTGCCCCCTCATGTGCTCGTAGGAGTCACTTACAAAACAGGCAACCGAAGCGGCAATCTAATCGTAACAGCAGTAGTGGCACAGCAATTTCGGTGGATTTTGAATATTACCTGGATAAGGCTTGAACGATTCAACTTCCTCGCCGCTCGTCGTCGCTGACGGTTGAGCGAAGGCAGCTTGGGGCTTCCATGGGGACTCGCTCGCTCCATGTGTACATGTATCGCGCTGCAGGTCGTAGTTATTCTGTTCAGCCCAACGTGTAGATTGCTCGAGTCCAGCTCTGACCCTCGGCCCACTGCAGGTCCCCTGTCCTGTCCCTTCCTTCTCCTCTCCTGTCCTCCTCCTCCGTTCCCCTCCCCCGTCGTCGTCCTTCAGGGCGGCCCGCGAGGAGGCGACGAGGCAGAGGAGAGCACCATGGAGGGGCACCTCCCTTTCCCTTAGCGCGCACTTCGGGGCGCGTCCACCTAGCGGCCTTTGTTCCCAATGCAGGATGGGAGTAGGCAGCCCTCAGTCGACAAGGATTCAGCGTTCCACTCACATCTGCGTCCCACCACCACACCTCGTTGGGCCCCCCGCCTGTCCTCCGTCAGCACGGGTCGCCGACCTTCTCCCCTAGGCTGGTCTTGGGGGGCTCCGGCGAGACCCCCCAGAGGCCGAAAGAAACGAAAAGTATCGGTTTCAAATGTTTTCAACCTAGACACGTTCGCGTCCGTAAGAAAACAGGACGGGATGTTTTTGTCGTTGTGGGCCTCTGGGAGCCCCTGGCGGGGCCCAGGGCTGCCAAAAAATGACTCAGGATGAAGATTTGGCCCTGGGAAAAGAGTCGGGACTTGTGGGGCCTCCGAAATTGGGTGCGAGTAGACGGGGTCGGAGGGTCGCGCCGCGTCGCCGATGCATCGGGGATGCGGCTCGATGTGGGGCCCGAGTCTCCACGCCGACGACGCCAATGCATCGCCGATGCATCGACGAAGCGACGCGATCTTCCGACCCCACCAGCTCTCCGACCTCAGTTGAGAGGCTTCCGCTGTTCCCAGACATGTGAGGTCCTGATTTGTTCAGCGCGGGGTCCCTCCCAGGAAACCCCGACCCTTTCTCCCCGGGCCCGGCTCATCCCGAGTGGTTTTTTGACGGCCCGCGGGCCTGGCGAGGGCACCTGGATGCTGAAACTGGTGCAACACTTGCCGCCGTATTTTTGTCACGACGCGGGCATGCTTGGGTTCCGACCTCATCTGCGAGGCCTCTGCTGTTCGGCTATGCGTGCGAGTGACCTTTCGCTGGAGTGACCTTTGGTGCGGGGACGCCGTGGTCCCCAGGTGATTGAATGCGGTGCGATTCCAGCGTGTTGCGTGTTCGGGTTTGGCGTCCCCGCGGCGCCCGAAAGTCGCGCACCAAAGGTCGCTTTTGCCTCGGGTCACTTTTTGCGTGTGCAGTGGAGGCCCACGCCAAGAAACACCCTGCTTGCCTCCATGGTGCCCTGCGTTTCTTGGGTTTCGATGGTTTTGCATAGGAAAACCTGACGTTCCCACGCCACAGATCAGTGGGCGTCCTGGGGTCTCAGGGTTGGATTATTTGTGTGGAAGGTTCCTTGTGGACTGGCCTCCACTGTAGCCGAACAGTCTGGGCCTGTCGTCCGCTGTCGTCTGTCTGCCCTCCCTTGTGCGGCCCAGCCCCGCGGTCCTGGTGGCCCTGGCCCGGACCCGCGGTGCGCTGGGGAGGGGGCCTGGCCGCGGCGCCGCGCGCGCGCGCGACCGGGCATTATGGTGTCCTCGGGTAGGAAAAACTCAGCCACGCGCGGAGCGGAGTAGGGGAAGGGGGGAAGCCTTCTTGGATGGAGGCTGCTTCTTAGAACGCGCGGGCCTTCTCTGCGGGCCGCGCGCGCGGAGGCCGCCGTCGTCGTCGTCGTCGTCGTCGTCGTCGTCGTCGTCGTCGTCGTCGGCGTCGTTGGCGGTGGCGGCGGCGTTGTCTGCGTCGGCGTCGGCGTCGGCGTCGGCATCGTCGTC